GGAAACCACCAAAAGACAGTAGAAAATGTCTCTGGTGGGATCAAAACATGGACGTTACTTTCTGCAAAGGTCTGGGATTCATGGAATTAGCCACTTACGTACACATATTGGTTTTAAGTAAGGTGAAAAGGCAGAGTTATAAGAAAGCTATTATTTTGATATAAATAAAAGACTTGCCTATCTCTGAGGCAGCTGTAGGCAGAACTTCTACAGTTTTTCAAGCTTTTAACTGTCTTTTTTATGACTGGTTAAACACAGGATGGTCATTGATTTCTAAAGTACTCGAAGCAGGACAAGATTCCTGCGTGTTTGTGTCATTGTAGCAGATCATAGTTGATAGGCCATGAGTAAAAATCACTATATAATAGCACTAGGAATATGTGACTTTCTTCTGATTGCAATTTACTGAAAACTGTTCTCATACATTCTTATTTTTTCTCTCAAAGTTATTTTACAAAATTGAAAAACCTGTGTGCCAAAGGACATTTTTTGTTCCTTCCATAAAGTTAAATATTGCAGCCCTTATTCACAGCAGTTGTTCCCTGGGTCTGAGCTGAAGACTGAACACTTTTGACTTGAATAGTGCATTATGGGAACTCAATTGTCACACTTGGATTAAACATGGAAGAGTTGCCACATATAGAAAAAGGTTGTTTTCATTTTTTCCTAAACTACCAACTATATTTTACCCTAGAAATCTATTTTGTATTTTTCAAGCTTTTGACTATTAAATTCAAACTACCTATTTTTTCAAAAACTAGTTTTACAGTGTTAAATTAGATTATGTCTTTAACAGACTGTCTCAATAATTGCTATCAAGCAAACAAAACAGATTCAAACCTAAATGGCAATGGCTTTTCACTACCCTTTGGATGACAAATGGTTACAAATTATTAAAGTTAAAACATACCTAAAAACAAAATTCTATTTTTTTTTTCTCTTATGGAGGACCTGATAATTTTTTATCATCTCAAAAAATGCGTGTTGCTGCCACACAGTTTTTGATGAAAAATGAATAGCAGATGTGGTTGAAGAGCAGTTCCTTTTCTCCTCAGAAGGAAAATCCTGCAAACAAGCAAAAACTAAAGCAATGGTAATTCTAAAGGAAAAAAAATGCTGTCATGTTCTTTGAAACATCACTGTCATTGCTGTTTCTCTGTGCTTCCAGTGAGTTTTTAATTGAAGAAAATTGCAAACACAAAAGTTAACTGTAGTTATTCAAAATACTTTCTTCTGTTTTTCACTTGTCTAAAATATCAGAGACAGAGCTGGGTTTAGGTGGGGGAGAGGAATCACTTCTCTAAGGACTGACAAAATTCAAATTAGAAGCACAGAAAAAAAATATTGGGGGGCAGGATCAAAACCTTGTTTTTAGTAAAATCTGCCCAATCTGATCTTCTAAACCAATGATAACCTTCTGACTTCAAAATACATGTTGAAGTTTTTGCTAACTCTCAGTAGCAAATTACTCTGTAAACCTCTGTGTCCTACACTTGGAAGAATGGGGTTTTTTTAAGGATGAGAGTTATATTTTCAGCAGTGCAAGACGGTGATTGAATTGAAGTTGAATATCCTGGTCTCTACTTATGAATTAGTCTACTCTAACAGCAACTTTCAGCCATATTTTGCAAGAATACTAGAAGTATTTCAAGCCTAAATAAAAGAATGGAAACAGTTATCCCTGTGTCAGGGGCCTGATCCTGCAAACACTCTGCACAATCAATTGATTTTGGTGGGAGTATTGACACAGATGAGGCAGAAGAAGGTCCGTTCTGCCATTACATCTTGAACAGGTAAAGTGAGCTTTATTTAGCAATTGCATACTTGAGTGAATATCCTGGGAGTAAGTGTGGAAGATGAACATTCCCATTTTGGATGATGAGCATACACTTTTCTTAACATTTCTGCTCATGGCTACCCATTCCTTCTAAAAGCACACAATCCCATCAGATCCTTCCTTGGAAGACTGATTCTGCTAAGTCCAGTCATATGGACTCTGTTTTCTGAGTGCTTTCATAAACAGAAGTTGGAAACATGTAATTCCACTTGTTTCCATGGTCCTAACCAAGACAGACTCTCCAGGCACTACTGGCTTCCACTCTTACCCTGTCAGCAGAGGACATATTCTACTGTGTAATATATTCTACTCTGGAGTTATGTGCAAAAAATTGATTTGTATTCCAGGTGAGCAGCTGCAGACTGGCAGGTTCCAGAATGCATTCCTCTGCTTATTCCTAGTTGCATGGTTTACTCTCTCTGCTTCACTGCTCTGTGCTTTGGCAGCCACTGAAAAAATGTAGAGATCAGGAAAAATAAGCTTTCTAGGCTCTGCATCATTCAAAATGAAATTATTCTAGACACCTAGATAATGTGGTCTGCATATATCAATGTGCCATATCCTTCTGTAGTAGTAAGAATATCCTCACTAACCTCCAGATATTCTTTTGCTTCTTTCACAAATTGAAAAAAATTGACACTTCTGTGCAATGTCTCATGAGATCATCTTAGATAATTTCATATTCAAGACTTGCATTTATTCAACTACTTCTTTTTGTTATTTAGTACTTCTTTTTACCCCTCCAAGGAAGGGAAGGAAACAGAGGAAGGCAAAAACAAATGACTAGTGAAATGAATGCATTTGGAAATGTATATAAACCCACAAAATCAATTATCTTCATATTAAATTCCTTTCTTTTTAAAGTTACAGAAAAGATTGTGAGGGTTTGTTTAGATAAGCAACTTTTCCCAGGAGGATCTAAAATCAAACCTCTTATTCAATCCCTTCATTTAAAAGTTGATGGACAGTGTTTTCCTGCATTGAAGCCAGCATTTTCAAGACAATTAAGAAAGTGTAAGAATACTGTTCTGCTTAATTCAGTCTCTCAGTTCTTCTGGCCCTGATGTCTAACATACTGACAGCTCCTTCTTTTACAGCCATTCTTCCAAGAATAAGAGTATAAAAACTTGCAGCCAGTTTATGCTGTTCCCATGTCCAGCATTAATGTGGAACTGAAGTATGCCACATGCCACACAATTCTAATGTAACTTTCTAATCAAGAAGTATGGCTGTAGATTAAAATACCTTAGACACTTTGATAACCTTTCTTCTCTTTCAGATGCTCATTTTCTCCTTCATCAACTCTCAATTGTATATTGGCATATTGTACATACCAATAAAAATGACAAAAATTACAGCGGGAAGAATAAAAAAGGCAAAACTGTCTTCACAGAGACAACAATGAGTACTGAAGCTAAGAGGAAGAAATTTTTTTTTTTTGCTGTGCAGTTCTTATCTGTCCCACTCCTGTTATTCAATTCTTCCCACCAACTACCCTCAGCTAATTCCAAATCATCCACCTGGTGGTTTGCACATTCATCAGCTGGAACAGCAGTGACACATGAGCCTTTAGCTGATAGGAAATTATATTTCGGGAAGAATCAAAAAAGCCAGAACTGTCTTCACAGAGACAGCAATGAGTACTGAAGCTAAGAGGAAGAAATTTTTTTTTTTGCTGTGCAGTTCTTATCTGTCCCACTCCTGTTATTCAATTCTTCCCACCAACTACCCTCAGCTAATTCCAAATCATCCACCTGGTGGTTTGCACATTCATCAGCTGGAACAGCAGTGACACATGAGCCTTTAGCTGACAGGAAATTATATTTCTGGAACTGGAGGCATCCTGCCAAATAACTTGGATAGATTACTATCTCAAACACTTTTGCAGCCCTAATGTGTCTCAGAGTCTAGCACCTCATCTTGCTGCATAAATTTACCACAACACACCTTACTTGGTCATTTCATGAAGGGAAGGACGCTTACCCCCTTTTTACACCAAACTTCACCATGCATCTAGAAAAATGACTCTGCCCTGCCCATACTCTAAGGGACCAGGTGCAAGACAGCTCTGGGAAGACCATAGTTGCTGTACTGCTGACTTTGTGGGAAGGGAGTCTCAATATTTTAAGACAGATTTCATTAGTCTCACAATCTGGAGGGTTGGTGTTACCTTCTATGCTGTAAAACAAGGCGCCCACTGCAACTTGTAAAGGCTGTCCATAATAGACTGTACTTTTCCCATTGGCTGCTCTTTCTAGGTTTCCATAAAGCCCTAAGAAACGGCAAGTCATATCCCATAACCTTAGCTGCCTACACAATTATATGATTTTTTTTCCAAGGTATATTCTTCTTCTTGCTTACAGTGAAATCTTTGTGCCTCTTACATTAGTGCCTTTAGGATTTCTGGATATTGAAGGATGTACTATTCATCGTCTGAAAGTTAGACAGAGGGACAATGACCTTGCTGCAGTTCTTCCTGAGCGTCACAGTGTGTGACCAATCCAGATGTCTTCAACCTACATATTGAGCATTTGTCTGATTTTTCTTTATGTTTTAAGCAGTCTGTAGGTCTCTTAATACCTAAGTAGCAAGAAAACTGCAGTGGAA